CGCGCCAACTATGACACGTGATCGTAGCCGTCCAATAGGAGGGCGCCGGCCATCCGTGACAGAAGCGGCCTATGACTGATTAATTAGGATTAGGATATGCATTTATTTAAGGCGCCAATTTATAATTGTAACAAATATAATTTGAATAAAAACATTCAATCGGGTAAAACAGGGGCGTTGCCCGGGTCATTCGGCTAGTTTTTTATAAGCATCGGTGGTTCAGTGGTAGAATGCTCGCCTGCCACGCGGGATCGATTCCCGGCCGATTTATTTTTTTGTACAATTTTTAAAACTCATTTATATTATATCTATATATATAAAAATGAATGTATGTGTGTCTGTTTGTCCTTTATGCCTGACCAAACCACTCATTGGAACGCCATGAAACTTTGGGAAGTTATTTAGTATAGTACTGGGAAGGTTTCTATCAAATAAAATTTTTGAAATAACTTTTCGCTTTAAAATAATCAAGATAAATATTCTAATTTAACTGTTATAATTCAACAATCTGCTCTGAATATTATCATGATGATACGATGATTTTGTAATGTAGAAAATTAGGAAAGACAAAATTCAGGAAGACACGGCAATTTATTTGAGACAAGAATAATGATACAATTCCAAGGCAAGATACTATTCCTTTAACTTCCAATTACCGAGGGAACCAAATAATAATGATTTTATTCAACTTATCGAGTATTTTTCAAGGGACCGGGAAAAAATGTTCACTTTATCGAGATATTCGTTAGACAAACCTTTACTAGGGTAAAACCCGGGCGAAGCCGGGTACGTCCGCTAGTATAATATAAATATATATTATTATATCAACTATATTAATTAAATCAAATACCTAAACACTAATATAATACAATTTTGCCATCACACACACATTTTTCCTGTAGTTTATGTGTTACTTCTGTATTGCTATTCTATTGCACTTCTAATATTTATTATTGATGTACTTTCAGTATGAAGGAAATTGCAATCGGGGGAATTCTCGGGCGAAGCCGGGTCATACGTCTAGTATATAATAAATATATATGGTAATTTGAACTAACAACCCCATATTGTATATAACTTATAACAAGATTTTCATGTTGTATAATAGAAACACATCTGTAAATGATTATACACATGATTGATATGTGTCATTACATCACCATTTGTAATGTATCATGGTACTTTGTATAAACTGAGGAGAAATAAATAAAACTTTGTAATAGATTAAGAGTTGAGCTAAAGCAAGAGATAGAAGTCAAAAACGTCTAAAATCGATATAGATTTAGAAGTCCCACAACAAAGTCTAAAGATAGATAGGAAACTGTCAAGGCGGCGCCAGTGTACAATTTCGCCAGCCGATCCACGCTCTTGTTGCATCTGCTGAAATGAAATACTTCCTCTCTCGGCAAAGATATATAAGGCCTCTGACCTAGCCAAAAATATAGTCACTTCACCATCAGCGGAAGCCCTCGTCGGTTGTCACCTAGGTCCTCCTCATCGACCATGTAGACCAGTAAGAACTCTTCAATCTCCATCTTTCGCTTCTAGCTCAACTTTTATCTGTTCACGGAACTTTCCTAGTGCAACTGTATCTTCATTTTTTTGTGTGTGGACATTCCCAAGCTTTCCACTCGGTCTCGACCACGACTGCCTGTACTCTGTGAGAACTGTTAAAGGTCTCCAAAGGTGCAGAGAGGTACTGGAAATTTATCCACGCCCTGATTGTCCCTCTCGGCTACTACAGGTTTGCCCCTTTCGGTTACCATACCACAGCGAGAGACCCTCGGTTACCACATATATGTAGTAACATATAGGTACCCGGGCTCCTAGAGTATATTTATTTCAATATTAATTTTTCTAAGTATATTTTTATAATCTGTTGAATATTTTCATTGAATAATAGTAAATATTAAATAATAAATTATTTCTTCGCCACAATATATTAACACTGAAAAGTTTTGTAAATATTGCAAAGTATTAAAGTTATGTTATTAAATAGAACATGAATTTTTTTTAGTTATATATGGTTGGTTATTGTTACCGAAAATTATCTGCAGAATTGAAAGATTTTATTTCCAATGAAATATAATCGAGGTAGTTTTGATTGTTGTGAGAAACATTTACAATAGTTAGAATGAAATGTTTTAAGGAAAACCAGTAAGGAAAAGAATATACACTAGAGACTCGCTGCAGAAACTACCTGAAAAACATGACTAAGCCAAACACTTCCAAACATAGTCTTTTATCAAATAGTACAACAATACCTCGCTTTGCGTCGTTTCGTTTTGGGTTTTTTTTCGAAGTTGCGTCGCTGCTTAATTTTTACTATTTTCACTGTGCGTCGTTAGATTTTCGAAGTTGCGTTGTTTTGGATTCGTGTCTTTAATTTTTTTTTCTAAAATATGGCAACACCTTTGTTTTTGATTGCGCCTTCACATATTTTCACTTTGCGTCGTGTTTTTTTGGAACGTAACCCCGACGCAAAGCGAGGTATGGGTGTATTTCAAGTCAGGCAGAATCTATGATGAGAGACCATCTCCAAGAGAGACCAGTTTGCACAAGTATTTTGCTGGTTTCTCATGTGAGTTTCAACTGTATATAAATCTTTATATATTTATTTATTTAACAGTTCCAAAGACACGCCATATCCACAATTAGGATAATTGCGTGTAAATCTGAAATTATAATCAAATCATCGTGAAAATAACATAATTAAAAATTGGAAAGCACGCAAATTACACATTCGATGTCAAATTTTTGCATATAGTAATTAGAAATAGTAGCTTGAAATATGTACACCGTATGAAATATGTACACAAAGTTACAACAGTTAGAACAACGTGTAGACCAAGTAAATTAATCACATCCAATGATTACATCAGAAAGAGTCAGTGGCCAACAGTCAATACTTTCGTCTTAAAATATACAGCCTGCAGAATCTATTAAACTTGATGTATTGGTCTTTATTGTAAACAACTTGTTTTGTATTTTTCAGGTAAACTTGGTTTTCTTTATATATAAATATTTGATTGTTTCTCCTATCTGTTCGCTAAAAAATCCTAACATACAGAATCCAAAATTCCTTGGAGAGGCTTCTGATCCAAAGATGTCTAAAGGCTAATTTTTAAATTGTATTGTTGATTCAGCCTCTCCTGTCAAAACTAGACGCCATCCATTGACCGTCGCCGCAAACTAGCGGCCTCGGGTCGGTGACCAAGCCACAACACCAGCTTTGGAAAACTGAAAAGCTTCCACCTAGAGACCACGGTTTCGGTCTAATGGCCCTCGTCAACCTAGGGCGGACTTTATTCCATGAGATCTAAAGGAATCTTGACAATCTGCCAAAGAGGTGTTTAGCTGGCAAAGTGACTGGGCCAAATCTATGGCTAAAAATGGATGGCGTCTAGTTTTGACGTCTGTTTTGACGGGAGAGGCGACCTTTGTTTCTTTATATCCATATCCTCCCGGCAAAATTTCCATCTATATTTTAGCCATAGATTTGGCCCAGCCACTTTGCCAGCTAAACACCTCTTTGGCAGATTGTCAAGATTCCATTAGATCCCGTGATATATCACTGTATATATCACTGTGCGTCAAATATCTCTCAGAGTTATTGTCTGAATCCCGATATATATATGCTATAAGGTACAACTTCCTTAAGTTTGTCTATCACTGTAATCAAATGATGATACAGCAATATTTTCATCATCATTTTCTGACTAAAAAATTTTTTCTCTATGTCCTGTTAAAACCCCTTTTTACATGTACATTAGGTCAGCTGATATTACCTTCCATCTTCACCGCTAGAGGCGCTGCTTGCGAGCGAAAGGGCAAATTTGCCACGCAATTTGCAAATAACTCGATGAAAATTCGGAATAGAGACCTGAAATTTTCACTATAAGTTTTTTCATATTCTACTCTATATACTGTTAAAATTTCAGTCAGATTAGTAACGTATTGTGGACGTGTATAGCCGACATAGGAACAAACACACATACATACATACATACACTGACTTTTATATATATATATAGGGATTTACACTAAAGGTTTTTGGAAATATGACACAGTGTTAAAGATATGATATACAATGGAACATGTTTTTTGATTAGTTGTAGAGAAGTTAGGTTGTCGACACACAACAATGTATTACTGAAAACTGAAATATTAAAAAGTATCTGAAGAATTGAAATTGTTGTTAATTTTCCATTGAAGAGTTGGAGCATTTCGATATAAAATATATTTATTGGCTTATATATTTAGCACAACATTATAAAAGTAAGAAATGATTAAATGCAAAAGATTATAAATCTAAATACAAAAGGTTATTTAAAAATTAAAGATCATCCTTTGTTCTTCATGTCAAAACATTCTTCTTTTGTTCTTGATGATTTTTATTGATGTTCCTTTTTCACAGACATTATACTTTCAGAAATGATTTATTTTCCAATAAAATATGATACAGGTAGTTAAATTGTTGTGAGAAACATTCACAATGGTTAAAATGACATATTTTGAGCAAAAATGCAATAAGGAAAAGAATATACACTAGAGACTCACCACAGAATCTACCTGAAACTACTTAAGCCAAGAACTTATACAATATAACAATTAATATTTCTTGTCAGGCAGAATCTCTGATGAGAGGCCATCTCCAAGAGAGAACAGTTCAACCAAGTATTGGGTGGTCTCTCATGAGAGACTCTACAGTATATAAATTTAAATCTTTATAAATATAAATTAGAATTTTAATTGTTTCTCCTTGTGTTCCTAAAAAACTCCTAAACTACTGAAAATCCAGTTTCTACAAATACTAGACGAATGGCCCGGGTAACGCCCGGGTTTTACCCGAGTGCGTATATATTTTTAAAATGTTTTAATTAAAATACTATTCGTTACAATTATAAATTGGCGCCGTGGATGTCTCTCTTGTGAAACGTCCCGCCCCAAACTGTGTGTGTCTTGAAAATATAAAAATAAAAATGTGAACGGAAAAATATGTCCAGGGTAGCCTAGTGGTCATGGCATCTGCCCGGTAAGCGGAAGGTCGTGGGTTCGATTCCCAGCCCTTGACACTTTTTTTATTTTATCCATTCTGACCAAAATCTATCCGTGAACTTCACACAGTGAACTTCCCACAGAGAGAATAAGGCAATTATATAAGTAGATAATCCAAATTGTGCCTTATCACACACTATTTTTTTATTTGGCCGTATTACCTTGTGTTTATAATCTATGCCGGCGGCGCGCGCCCGTTGGCTGCCGGCGAGCACGTGACCTCCCTGTGCGCGCGCATCCGTGACAGAACCGGCCGTATTATTATTATTATCATTAGAAAATGATAATGATCATAATGATGATGCGCGCGCATCCGTGACAGAACCCATGACGGTCGTGACTATATATGTTGATCCCTGAAGCGGTTTGTGAACCATAGATATGTCTAAAAACTTACTTAAAAATATATTTTACTAGATGGATGACCCGGGCTTCGCCCCGGGATTGACCCGTGTGCATATCTACCCGAGTGATATATATTTAGATAAGATTTTTTATAATTGTTTGTTATTAGCATTATATATCTATTTGTTTGCATCAGCATAATTCAATCTAATCTTTGATAGAGGGCGCTGTTCGTGAGCTAAGTAGAATAATTTGAATATATAGTTTTAATAATTGATTTATATATATTTTTAAAATAGTCTATCATCTTCCCCGTATTTTTTTACCTATGTATGTAAATTTTGGTTCGAATTAGTGAACTACTGCGAATTTGTATACCGGACATACAAACAAATAAACATACAAAAAAAACAAACATACAAAAATTGATTTCAATATATATAGATATACGCGAAAAACCCGAACCATGGAAGACCTCCCTGCACCAGAAGCCCCCAACACTAATTTTACCAACCCCAAATACCCGGTAGGTACCCGTAAAAAAATGAAGAAGATTCTCAAGCTTTGAAAAAATACTCCGGCGCGGTCGAAACCACCTTTGCCGAGCTAATAATTTTTATTGACTTTTACGAAAGGGAACTATGCGAACTGCGCTCAAACTATCTAGAACAAAATACTACAAAAGCTCCCGCGAATCGCCCAAGAGAAAAATCACCACTAGCCGCAAAAGAAACAACAACGCAAAAAACAACCAGGTGCTCCAACAAAAGGTCACAAGGTATTCCTGAACCAAAATTACAAAATAAACAGCCTGAAAAACCTCATGAGGCAGAAACAGTCGAAATGGAAATCGAGGTGGCACCAAAAAATGCCAAATCATGAACAAAACCATAAAAACTCAAACTCATAAAAGAAATCTAAAGAAACATCGAATAACAAACCTAACAATCCCACCCCTAACCCAAAGATCAGAATACCCCCAATTAAAATAAGCGGAGTAAAGGAATGGTCAGGCCTTAGAGATGGTCTTATCAAGTGTACCAAACAAAAGCCAGAATTTTACACATCAGGCCGATACATCAACGTTCAGACTCACACAACATCAGACTACCAGATAGCTACCAAGTGGTTGGAAGATCGCTACTACACCTTCCACTTCAATATCCTAGACGACGAAAAGTGCCTTAGAGTGTTCTTCAGAGGTCTCGACCGCTGCATCGCCATCGCCGAAATTCAAGAGAATCTGGAAAACAAGGGATACGAGATGTCCAAACTTGCAAGACTACGAAATTCAAGAACAAATAAGGAGCTCCCACTAATCCAGGTAACCCTTCCTAAGACTGCAAGGAATAAAGAAATCTACAATATCACAGATCTCTGCGACATGAAGTGCAACGTCGAGGCTTACAGGGCTCCCAAAGGCCCCGGACAATGCCATAGGTGCCAAAACTTTGGGCACTCTCAGTTCGAATGCAGGGAAACTCCCAAATGTTTAAAATGTGGAGAAAATCATTTCATATCCGAATGCACCAAAGAAGAAGAAGTCCCACCTAAATGTGCAAACTGCCAGGGTCAGCACACAACAAGTTGGCGAGTTTGCCCATAATACAGAAAGATAAATAGAGTGCCCCAAACTCAAAATAATCAGAAACTAAACCTCAATACAGGAAAAGAAAAATCCAACCCTATAGGTCCAAACCCTTCTGAAATTCCCTATCCCATTCAAAACAAGAAAAAAACTCCACATGTTAAAAAAGTACGTCCCAATCCTCCTTCAGCCACTAAGGTCAACCAACTAGAGAGCACTATCAAAAAGGCTCTCAGTGACTCCGTAATAATAGCCAATATCATGAAGAACGTTGTAGACACCTTTAGATGTAAATGAATCACAAAAATATGCATAAAAATAGCCATCGAATTGTTCACTGGAACGCGTGCAGTTTCCGAAACAAAAAACAACAATTCTCAGAATTTCTGAACGACCACGACATCGACATCGCACTAGTGTCAGAACCCTGGCTTAAGCCGTGCCATAAAATGAGGATTCAAAACTTCATCACCCTGCGCAACGACAGACTAACCGGACAAGGTGGTGGAACTGCCATATTCATCCACAAGAAATACAGCCATGCACCTATTCATGCCACCACCTCAAGCCTGGAAACAACAGGAATTTCAATCAAAAACGGGTTAAATATGAACCTGTATTCGTGCTACAAACCACCAAACACCTATCTAGATCAAACCGATATCTATAACATTTTTTCAACGGACACACCGACCATCATAGCAGGGGACCTAAACTGCAAACATCCTGCCTGGGGTTCCACCACCACTAACCCAAGCGGGAGAAGGCTCCAAAACGCAATCAACGTTATGGACCTAGATGTGAGCTACCCCGATGAACCTACTCATGACTCACCTCCAGACTTCATTGATATCGCCGTGCACAAAAACATCTCCCAAAGCGCATACTCTAAAGTCCTGCATGATCATCTCCCAGTACTACTTGTGCTACAGGATTTCAAAATCTCCTACTCAAATATAAAAATAAAAATTACAGATTGGGCCCTATTCAAATACAAAATGGAAATCGCTGAACCTCCTGAACTGATCCCAGACACATCTTCAAAAATAGAGGCCATTACACACATTGAAGAACAAATGGTGCAAAATTTGAAAGATTCAACAAAATATAAGGACCCGGAACTAGAACGAAGATATCCACCTCACATTAAAGAAAAAATACAATCCACCAACAGACAAAGAAAAAAAGAAAAAAACCTGTGACCCCAGAGATAAATCAGCCTACATGACGGCCCGGAGAGAATCACAGAAACTTACAAGAGAGCACGATAACACCAGCTGGGACCACTTTATCGAAAACTTGAAAGTTACGGACCAAACCATATGGAAAGCCATCAAACGATTATCCAACTCTGAAAAACAAGAAATAACACTGAAGAAAAACAATGGGCAGACACTAACCACAGAAGAAGCAGCTGAATCATTTGCCAACAACTATGAAAAACAGTTCACCCCCAATCCCTATACATCCCACTCCAAACCTACTCGTACATACATCAAACGTGTGAATTCATACATGAAAAAAATAAAGAAACAGGACTATAACCAACAAACATTGGTGAAATAAAAGCGATTATTGAATATCTATCAAATAAAAAAGCTCCCGGAATCGACGAATTGCCTAATGAAGCTCTCAAACTGCTCCCTAATCATATACTAGCATCAATAACCTAAATATTTAACGCCTCATTGCCTCTTGCCCACTTCCCTGACAGATGGAAAACTTCCATTATCTGTTCTATACTTAAAAAAGGAAAATCCATGCATGAACGAACAAGTTACAGGCCCATCTCACTGCTACCTGCCAACTCAAAACTATTCGAAAGAATTGTTTTAAGAAGACTCAGAAAATTCCTCAGAGAAAAGAATCCACTCAGACCTGAACAATTTGGCTACCAAGCCAAGCACTCAACATTGCACCAGCTAGTTATTGTCACTGAAAAAATAAGAAAAGCCATGGATCTAGGCCAAATAACAGGAGCCGTATTCTTCGATATTGCCAAAGCATTCGACAAAGTCTGGCACGAAACCCTTCTCTACAAAATGTGCAAAAAGCACCTTCCTGGAGACATCATAAAAATAACGCAAAACTTCTTAACAAATAGAACATTCAAGGTACGAGTCAAAGACAAACTTTTAACAGCTAGGAACATCTTTGCCGGGGTCCCCCAGGATCAGTCACAGGACCAACCTTATTTGACATATATATAGACGACTTCCCCTGTATTGAAGACACCTCTTTACACCTATTTGCCGATGATACCGCCATTTTGGCCTCGACATACGACTTCGACAGACTCCACATGAAACTTCAAGAGGCCTGCATCTTTTCCACGCTCTGGTGTAAAGAATGGCGAGTCACAATGAACCCCCAAAAAAGTGAAGCAATAAATTTCTCCAGAAAAAAAAAAGACAAAATTAAGAAACCTTCAGATCAACTTTTTGTCTTCGAAGACAATATTAAATGGAAAGAGAACATCCGATACCTAGCGATGACCCTAGACGAGCACCTAACATTCAGAAAACACATCGAAAACAGAATTAATTTGGCGAAAGCGGCCCAACACCGACTATCCCTACTTCTAAGACCGAAAAGCAAATTATCCCTTCATTGCAAAAGAACCATTTACACATCAATAATAAGACCAATACTCATATATGGCCACCCCATTCTTATGACAGCACATAAGACCATCCTTAAAAAGCTAGAAATCTTCGAAAATAAAATGATCAGAAAAATCATGTCTCCACCCTGGTTCGTTCGGAACACAATCCTCAGGAACGATCTAAATATCGAAAACATCAATGACTACATTATTAGACAATCATTTAAATTCTATGAAAAATCCGAAAAATTAGAAAACCCCACCTTTAAGGAAGCCACAAACTACAAGTCACGAAAAAGGCAAAATAAGAAATTTAAAACCTAGACAAATTCTCAATCAATTAAGCCAGAATGACGAAAAGTGGAAAAAAAAAGGAAAAACAAACCCACCTTGAATATCAAACAAGCCAGAAAAAACCTTCTCAAGAACAATATCCCCAAGGACCTGAAAATCCGGACCCAACGACATCATTATAAATT